AAAATTGTGACCTAAAATTATCATTATGGATTCAAAAAACTGCATTCAGTTTCTCAGAGAGACAGGATTTTTTGTTTGGTTGGCTTTTGGTTGGTTGGCTTTTAAATAAAAGGCTTTATTGTTAGCTTTCTGGTGCAGGTATTCTTGAGGTGTCAGGTCACTGTGACCTTACAGGAGGATGATACTAAAATATACCAGTTACTCCCCAGACCATTTTCTCAAAGATTGTTCAGTAGCACATGGGGCCAGTGTGGGGTCCCTACTTGTTTAGTACCAAGATGCAGATTTGCTTTTTAAGGCTACTCTCTTGAGGCAGAGATGCTGTAGCTGAGTTCTATAGTTCCTGCCTTCTGTTCAACCTTGTAATCTGATTTTTTTTTTCTTGCACGGTTTTGACTTGCCAAATTCAATTTAAACAAAGAATTCATTTATTAACACCATTATCTTCATCCTGAGCCATCACCTGGAGTATTCCCTTAGGGTCTGGGGGCCTCAGCATAAATAAGAGAGAAATGGGCTTGTTGGAGCAGGACCAGAGGAGGCCATGGAGATGCTCATAGGGCTGTAACACTCTCCTGTGCAGGCRGGYTGGGAGAGCTGGGACTGTTCAGCCTGGAGAAGAAAAGGCTCCAGGGAGACTTTACAAGAACCTTGCAGTACCTAAAGGGGGCCTACTGGAGAGAGGTGTTTTATGAGGACATGTAAGGATAGGAGATGGGAGAATGGCTTTAAAYTGACAGAGTGGGTTTCAATCAAAATATAAGGAAGAAATGCCTCACTGTGAGGATGGAACTGTGAGGGTGAGGAGACATTGGAACAGGTTGCCCAGAGAAACTGTGAACGCCCCATTCCTGAAAGTAGGTTCAAGGCCAGGTCGGATGGGGCTTTCAGCAGCTTTCATCTKGTGGGATGTGTCCCTGTCCACAGCAGGAGTGGGATGGAACTAGATAATTTTTGAGGTCCTTTCCAACCGAAACAATTATATGATTCTGTTTATCTTTTAGTCTCTAAGCAGGCAAAGTATGTTACTTGTGCTCAGGAAACGACAGTAACCAACTCATTTTACAGTTCTCTCACTTCAAAACTCACTACTCTTGACATTCCTGAATTTTTCAAACATGAATGGGTTTTGTTTTGTGTAGGTCTCAGTGCAATTCACATGGTGGTGACAGCAAATAGCATGTCCTGCTTGAAACAGCTGATTGCTGCTAGAGTTAATGTCAACGCTCAGGAACAAAAATCTGGACGAACTGCATTGCATTTGGCTGTTGAACAAGAGAACATCCCTTTGGCAGGCTGCCTTTTGCTTGAGGTAAGGGCAGAATTTTTCTCCCAGATCTTTTCAATTGTATATTTAAAAGCTGTTGACAATCCTTCAGAAAAACAGAAGTAAGKGGTGAGGTTCCAGTTTATTGACTCRATTACTTGAATGGGTGTAATGGTAATGTTAATTATTGGTAATGWTACTCACTGTTTCATTCAGCACTGCTGATGGAGCTTATGCCCACGTTGAGGAATTCAGAGTTAATGACTCTGACTTGACTGCATATGCCATATTTAATTTGCACTGAGCAATCCTGGCATGCATTAAAGTTACTCAAGAACAAGTTCATCCCTTTTTCTGTGTGAAGTAGAACATGCATGGTGATGTGCACAGAGATGTTGTGTGATCTCTAAACACTTGTCTCATCTCTAACACCTGGATTGTGGTATCCTTAATTCTACACACCTCAGCTGGCTGCAGTAGCTTTCCTTTGTGTYCATGCATGGATGTGCCATCAGCCTGGCTGTTCTGATGAGTAGCAGGAAGGCAGGATTCTGTGCACACCACTCARACTCCAAAGAACTTTCACAGGGGATGCAAAGTGGTTTTTATCTACAGGACATATTTGGATATGTACACTGTGCCTCCTGCTCTAACACTGCATGCAGACAGTTGTAGTCACTTTCTAATTCCTTCTTTACAGGCAACAATTAGAGTTTTTATGCAACCAGGCATGGAATGGTGCTTACTTGCACAGTAGCAGTGTTTATGCTKACATGAGCCTCTGCAGCTGCATTGTACAGATTTCTTTTCTTTTTGYCTTTCAATAAAAACTTAGGGTGATGCAGATGTGGACAGCACTACATACGATGGGTCAACTCCACTTCACATAGCAGCTGGAAGAGGCTCGACAAAATTGGCAGCAGTTCTCAAAGCAGCAGGTATGGAAATAGATCTTGGAGGGAGAGTTTTGTTTCACAAGTTTTCTTTCTTTGACAATTCAAGTTAGAAGGCTGCAAGCAAAAAACAATGWGCCAGTGAACTTGTTTAATGGGTGGAGGAAGTCAGATGCTAAAAGCATGACAATCTAAATTTCTTCAGAAAGACCTGCTCTGAGGAGCTACATTAACCTCTCTTCAGCACCATCTAATGGCTAAAAAGGCAAATTATGTTGGTCAAAAAAAAATCTCTTCAGCACTGGGAAGTTTTTTTAGTATCTTTTGTAGCTTTTTTTAGCTGAAGAACTGGAGACCTTTTTATGTATCTGGGATAAGTGTTGGACTGGTTTGGAACAAATAAGAAACTCCCATCACTCAAGCATGAGCTTGTTAGTGTGTCCTATTTCCTGTCACTTAGGAAGAATTAGGTTTGAGTATTTATTGGAACATTTTGTCACTTCTGTTTAAACCTGATTTTCCTCCTTGGAAACAGAAACCCAAGCCTCCCATTGCTGAGGCTGTCTGCTTGGTCTTTTAAAAATACCCCCACTTTCTCTGACACTCTAAATAGCACCAACACACCATCATTTCATTACACACAGGCTGTGCTGTGTGAACCAAGATGGGACTGGAGGTCAGTTGTCAAGTTCTGCTTGTCATTTTTTCCCCTCTTTATAATGGAGAGTAGCGTTATACAGAGATGTGACAGCATTTAAATGTAATTGATAAAAAGAGCTACTTGATGGCTTAATATAAAATATAATTTACCTGAAGTAGCTAAATGATTTGCCATTTGGTACACAGAATGTACATTTTGAATATTGTTAAGAAGTAATTTGAAGCCCTTTCTTTGATTCCCCTCCACCACCACCACCACTTGTTTTTCAGGTGCAAATCCTCACATTGAGAACTTTGAGCCATTGTTTGATCGAGATGATGTGAAAGATTRTGAAGATGATGATGAAGGGATTGTGCCTGGAACAACACCACTGGATATGGCAGCCAACTGTGAGGTATGTGGTCTGTTTCTTTAGGTTTGTTCTTTTTTTTTTTTTTTCCTAATTATAAAGAATAGTTAGCTCTCTCAGCCAGCTTCTTTCACTGCATCCACAATCGTTTCAATAAATTCAACTAGTCTGCCATCAAAAATTAACCTAATTCAGCCATGAAATTCCCCTGATGCAACAGCTTTGAAAGACAGCTCCCTTGAACAAATGCTGCTGAAGAGAAATGACCAGGCAGTTCTTAAAATAGTTGCACTACAGTCTTCAGTGTGGAAAAGTATTCAGCTGGCCAGGCAGCCTGTGTCTGAAGGTCCACTCACTGGAGAGTTTCTCTGCTGAGTGTTCTTCAGAATTGCAGCCTATGTGTGATGGGAAAATGCACTCCTGTGTTCTACCCAAATGGTGATTAAGCTGATTATTGTGCATTTGGTTTGGTGTGAGTTAAAGGACAAGCACTCAGCATCTCTAATCATCTGGAGCTGGAGAGTAGTACCAGCCCTAGGTGAAAATCTAACCCAGGCTTTGTTTTAAGTGACTAGTTGCAGACAGGCTGCAACTCCTTGCTTAGCCAGTGCTACTGCCATTTATTTACTGCCACAACTTCCTCTGTGTCTTGAAAAGAGTTGCCAGATGACACAGCTTAAAGTAAAGGGAGATKAATTTCTCAACATTTCTGCCTCAAGTTTAGCACAGGTTTTCTACAGTATCTTTAGTCACACTGAGGCTGGGAAAGGAAAAAAATACTGATTTATAGATAATATTAGGCCTTTTCACAACATTGCCGAGACTTAATGGACACTTAACCACGTTTCTGCTAAGTACTGACTTTAATGTGTTCTCCTAGGTGTATGACATACTAAATGGAAAACCCTATGAGTCAGCAGAGGTTTTGGAGGACTTACTGACACAAGGTAACACCTACAAAGACTTGACAATATCCCTCTAGTAACTGAGTACTAAAACTGTAGTGGCAATAGCTTGTAACTGAGCTGGTAAGGGAGAAGAGGTGCTGTCCCACCCCCTCACTCACAGAACGAGCATGATTCCCTTAAGAGGTCACAAAGACCGGGAGTACATTTTCAGTATTACAGCCATACATTTGTAAAGGATGGGATTAGACTCAAATAGTCTTCAATTTAACTTCGTTTCTGCTTAAAAATTATCAGTGTGTGATTTGTATAAACAATAAACTAACGTATTTCTCTGTTCGCCAGGACATTTGAGAGAGCTGAATGAGAGTTCCAAGATGCAGCTTTACAAACTATTAGAATTGCCTGATCCATCCAAAAACTGGTCCACCCTAGCACAGAAACTGGGTCTTGGCATCCTTAATAATGCCTTCAGGTTGAGCCCTTCCCCATCAAAAACTCTGCTGGATAACTATGAGGTAATGTGGCTGTAACAAGTTATATAGAACATTCAGACATGTGGAGAACCTGGCCCTCCTGCACAGTAAGACAGTGCAGCCCTGCAGTTTTAGCCAGCCTGGATGATGCTGAGCATCTGATGTCTTCTCTTTCAGGTTTCTGGTGGTACAGTTCAAGAGCTGATCACTGCTTTGAGACAGATGGGTCACACAGAAGCCATAGAAACAATTCAGGAAGCACTGTCTATCTCCTGCAGACCATCCCACCTGGAGGACAGTACAGCAGAAGCTCTYCCGTCACCGTCACCACTCACCTTTGCAAATGGAGCAACAGGTAAAATTGACAGCAAAATGTGAATAGCTTTATTAAAGACATTCTCTTCAATTCTCCCTCCCCACCCCATCTAGGACAGCTGATAAGATTGCACACACAGTTTCACCTGCTTCACCTGGTTTCAGAAAYACTTCTCTGCAGCGTGACCTTGTCATAGATATTTGCTAGGCCTAGAAAAGAGAGGAAAAATGGACCATTTGAATCAGCATGCCTGYATCACAGTATTGATTATACTGTCTCCCTTTGCTAAAAGCAGACACCTGCCATTTGATAATGATAACTGGCACATTCCCAGTGCATCCATGACATTATCTCATACGTATATACAAGTGTAGCTTTTGACTTTCCCCCCCTCATAGCTGGATAAACAAAATTGGTTTGGGCTCCTGAACTTCTCAGTAAGACTTTGGTATTAAACTTCTCCTTCCACATTGTGTAGCACTCCAAAAACAGCCCAGTGTTCTGCAGGCAGGTAGACTGAGGATGACTTAGGTTACACAGGACCTCAAGCAGGGCCACTGTAACATTACATGAGGACACCCATGTTATGTCCAGTTGGGTTCTGTGCATCTTCAGTGAAGGTCCCTACAATGTTTTTGGGCAGGGAACTCTACAAACAGAAAAAGAGAGGTGGTGAGAAGTTTGTCATCAAGGTTGTTCAGTCACTGCCTGGCCATGTTTAATAACAAAAACCTTTGTTTTTTCCCTGTTCAAACACCAGTAGTGCTGCCTGTGCCCTAACATTAAAACTTACAGCCTGTGTAAAAATACTGCAGGTATTTCTGGAAAGAAGAAAGAAATACCAGTCATTCCATTCCAGTCTGATATTGCCAGTTTATTCTCTATAGAAAACTGTTGGGTCAGTCACAGAACAAACTTTTACACCCACCCAAAAATGTGTTTGTGCACATATTCCCCCTCCAGATTAATCTTGAAGGGTAAGAGGGGCTCTGCTCTTTTGCCACATGAATGGAGTGCATCCCATTGTTTATTTTAAGATGTTAGTTAGAAAAACAAGGCTGAATTGTAAGATGCCACCACTGCTTTAGTCACACTGGTCCCACATCATACCTTCAGCTCAGATACTGACCTCTTGCAGCCAGGCACTCCTGTGGAGATCATGCACAGGTGATGGATGCTGCTGACTTCCTATTTTGGGTTCACTTTCTAGATTAAAGCTGTTCAAGTATTTGTCTCAAAAAGAAATCTGAAAGTTGAAATAACACRAATTAAAAGTTTTAGGAGCTTCATCCTGGAGCTGTACACTTGCAGTGAGGATGAATCTGAGAACCAGAGAACCTTTTGTCCTGCGACTGYCACAGTCAGGCAGAGTCCTGACTGGAGTGCAGTGACAGCAGCAATGTCAGCAGAGCACCAGGCTTCTCATCCCATCCAAGCTCCAAATGCAAATTGGTCTGCCAGCAGTACATCAGATCACATGCTTTGGTGGCCTGGAAACATTCAGCACAGTTTTTCCTATTATAATACCTCATGTTAGATTTGTTTTCTTATACAAGAGCTTTAATCTTGTTGGTTTTCCTTAGGTTTTTCTTAAAGCAACCTTGCTCAAACCACACAAATGATAATGCTTCCCTTTTCTCTGTCCCTCAGGTGACCTCTATAACAGCAGATTTCAAGACAATGAAAGCACATGTGACAGCGGTGTGGAGACCTCCTTCCGCAAGCTGAGTTTCACTTACTCAGACTCTCTGAACAGCAAGKCCTCACTAACACTTGGCAAAATGGCCCTGGGCTACGGACATGAAAGTTCAGGGCACAGCAGTTATATAGCTGACTAAGAATGCTCAATTGGCAAGATGCAGTTACAGCAACAAGTGGGACATTTCACATTACATCARTGTCATCCTGGCCCCACAGAAGTGAACTTGCAACCAAAAGTGCACTGGAAGAATCCCACCTGAACCTGAACCAATGGCACCTCCAGCATGTGACTCCTAGCCATTGCTTCCTTCCTCAAGTACATTTCATTTTCTTCATTTACAAGCCATTTACAATAACCCAGGCTCCCACTGCTGCATTAACACMTGGGACTGGACGCTGTGAAAGACTGACTGAGCTTTCGGTGTCTGTGAGGATTTTCTTTTACAGATGATAAAGAGATGATTGTTAATGCATATCAACTTAATAAAGAGGTTAGGCACACAGAGCAATCAAGAGGGTACAGTTTCTAGCTGCTCTCTYCATAATTTTTGCAGCACAGTTTCATGAAAACAGCTCATAAAATAGCTGGCAAAGAAATATCATTCTTTTAATCACAACAGTGACAACTCAGAGCAAAAAGAATCCTGAAAGAATCTTGTATATTTCAAATAATGTATTTAAGCTTAACTTGGGTGCCTCTTACTCAAAGATTTTTTTCAAGTTCAGCATTTTCCTACTTGTAAATAGTTTTTTTATATCTGTTCCTTTTTGAAAAAGCGTGCTTTTTAAATGCCTATTTTTATTTTACTTTTATAATAAAACCCCAAAATTAATTCTCCTGTCTGTGCTTGCTGATTTTTACATCAYCTTTCAAGTAGAGTTATTGAGGATTTAGCATCTAAGACTTAGGCATTGATACAAGATCATGCTGATTTCCAAGCACTAAAATAAAAGAAGGGTTGCAAGCCACCTGTCTTAAAGCTAAATTATCTTTTATGATGGGAGAGCAGGACCATCAGCTACTGCTGAGCAGCAGTGCTTTGTGCTTTGGGATTAAAGCCCCAGTCTTGTTTTAGTTTGCAGCATTATGGCAGCAGAGAATCATTTACACTGAAAACAATTATTTAGTGTCTCAGCAAATCTCTGATTTSTCCTTTGGGSYGTCTAGAAACTCCTGTAGTTACAGKGCTCATGAGCAGTGTTTRTTCTTGTTTGACATCAGTTCTGAGATGGTGARTGTACTGTTACTGATGTTGGCCCAACTAAACAGCACAGGCATCAGATTTCATGATGAAAAAGCAAAGAGCAGCATTGTACCATTGTCACTCACTTGTAGGCAGCTTTGTGGCACAAAGTTGGAGAGTTAGCAGGGTGGTCTTGGCTCAGCTCAGTCTTCAGTAACCTGGGTGTCACTCCTGAGAAAATGAATCAGGATAAACCTTGGGGATGGTTGAGTAATGAAAAAAACATGTGAACTAATTTTATAGCCAGGTGCATTACTGAGAATGTTAATGACTTCCAGAGAATATGAGTAATAGTAAAAATGCCATTCTTTCAGTTCTTGTATGTATAATCCACTTATAGGCTGTGTCTAAGACATAGATTTTTTTTATTAATATACTTGTGCAGCTGTAATAGAAACTGGCACAGGTTTTCTCATTGTAGGGGTGGAGGGGCTTTTTGAACCCTAGCAGAGCTGCTCTCCAAGTAAAACACACCTGCTTCTGCAGAATTTCCAGCACAGCTCAGCAGGCTGGCAGAGATTTYTACTGAGGTTTCTACAATCCTGCAGATCACTGGGGCACCCTGGCTGTTTATTCACACCTTTTAGCTTYAGTTCTGATCAGCTCTGCCTATATATCCAGAAGACCTGGATATGGATTTTCTTAAAGCACTTCACGACCAAATGTTGCAAAATAGCTGTTCATCAGTTTAGTGATCATGCACAGCAGGTCCCCTAGGCCCTGTGTATTGAAGTGCTTTAAAAGGCAGTCTGGCAGATTCTAGTTTTGGTATATTTAATAAAAGAGACTCTATCCTTTTAGTTTTTTTCTCTTTGTTTGGAGATGGAAAAGTAATTTTAAAAGTATTCTCAGTCAAAAGTGGAATGCTAAATTTTTGCAGCTGAGTCATATAACAGGACAATTTTCCTACCTGCAWTAACCTTCTGCATCTTTATATGTTGCAGGCAAGCCACACAGTGTGTTAGAACGAGGCAAGAGAAGGAGTTAGAGCACACCAACAAGTGTGGGACACACTACAAAAAGTGACAAGTGTCTACTGGGAAACATTTGTGTCTCATGTAGTTCCATTTGGCAGAGCAAACCTGCTTACTGCAAGCAGCTTGGTTAGAAGAAAATGCATAACTTGACTCTTTCTGCTTGACCTTRTTCTTTTTAGTAGTGGTCATCATGTACAGGACAATGATTCTTGCATTGGTGGCACCTGAGAGAAGGTCAGGCTCCTTGCAGGTATGAGGATGAAGATAACATAGAGAGGAAGGAGGCTTAGCAAGAGAAATCATAAACAACACCAAGTCTTAACAGAAACATTTAAAGCAAATGTGTTTGTGTCAGGCTGTCACAGTAGAGATGGACAAACACGACATAAGCAACGAGCAAAGATCCCCTTATTARTGGGYTGAGCCCCTTTTATCTATTTAGTAACAGTGCCTATACTAAGTCTTCSAYGTAAATGGCAGCTGCCTATTGGCTAATTAGCAGTCTGTTCTCTACTTATCAGCATAAGATTGGTGCATTATAATAGTTGCAAAAGTGGCTGTGCCATTAGCTTTGCAGTTTCTTTTACTCTGTCTTTGGCAGAGTTGGATGATATTTAACTTCAACTTGCACATCACAATAAAGCTGATGTAAAAATAAAACTGAGCAAAAATCAAAACCACTTGTTCAAAGCACRTACTTCTGGTACATCTAYTGAACTTGCCAATCGAAGAACTAACTTTTCAACACAKAARCAGCTCCTTACTGGCAAATGTATATGCTGGTTCTGTATGTTTAATTTAAAATACCCTGGGAAAGCTCAAACAGACTTGCAAAGCCTACCATAAGCAAGCTCAGTGGAAACAGGTATGTTCARTGTTCATGGACCTCATCATCAGACCTGCTCATCTCTAAAACAGATTTATCCTCACACATCCTTGCCAAGACAGGAAGTGCCATTCCTTTTTTCACAAGTGCAATGGAATAAAGGAACAAACACTCCTGCAAGAATCCAGGAATTGGCTGAATCAGCCTGAGAGCTTCTGTCTACACCTGGCTTATAGACAGGAACCTCTAAACCTCATCTGTACTTGCAGTTGAATAGAGCACGCTCTGTTATTTTGCTGCTGTATCATAATAAACATCAGGAACTTCTGGAATGCAGCAAAAGTTTCAACAACAGCTCACTACAGATCTTCTCTACATTTGATGTAAAATAAATTCTTTAGAAATCTAAACTGTCCCAGATCTTGGATTGGCTGCCACAGCTGTTTCTTGCCATCATCTTGAGACATATTTACAAACTTGGAAACCACTGTGGTAGTTGTAAGTTCCAGGCAGCATTCTAAAATTCTGTGGATTGCATGAAGGGTAAGAATCTTACCTACATGTAGTGTGGTGTATAAATTGCCCTTTCTTCCTTGTCTGGAAAAGTAAAATGCTTTTCTCATGCATTTAAGGAAACAGAGCCACTGTCCTTGCTTGCCCCAAGTAAAGTGATAGGAATGCTGGGTGCTCATCTGTTAGCTCAGGGTGCAGTGGTCAATACTCACCCATCATCCACAGCTTCTGGATTTTCTCAATGATCATCTCTTGAAACAGAGCAATTCTAGAGTAACAGCCAAAGGCGCAGTCCAAACTTTAGCTGGCTTCAAAAGATTCCTACAGTTACAAAAGACAGCACAARTTAATTACCAAGGAGCTGATTTTCTCCATTCAGCATTATGAAGCAGCCTGGTGTCCCACTTAGAGCCAGGCTGGAGTATGGCTGTTATTCCAAGCCTGCAGAGGTTGCCCCATGGCCTCATTCAAACCTAGCTGTTGTAGAGGGTTTTCAGCCATCCAGTCACCCTTGTCACATGCACCCTTGTCAGTGCAGAAGAGCACTAGCAGAGCAGTGGCCTTCATGACACACTGCAAGGGAAAACACTTGTGACAGACTTTGCACCTGAGGCACTTGCCAGATTCCAGCTGAGTCAGCACACACAGGCACATGCACTGAGCAGCATCACGCTCATGATCAAAGCAGCTACTCATAGGTCTCTAGTGACTCTACTTCTTACAGAGATGGCCTTTTTTTCTATGAGTTTTGGGTTTCCACACTAATTAAACAATATTGGAGGTTTTGTTTCTCTACTTTGTACAGCTGACTGCAAAGCAGAGTTACGTAAACACAACTCTTGGACTGAAATCTGTCCTAAAAACTGCAAACAATGAGCTCCTCATTCCCTAGGTGGGTAAGAAAGAAAACTGATTTTGATCATATAAGAGGCTGGCTTACAAGCTTCTAAACCCAGCTCTCCTATACTGAAAATAAGAAACTCATTTTCCCATTCCTCTACTCCTGCTACTGCTACAACTCACTGAAATGGTTTCTGCTAAGCATCTCCAAAACCAAAAGGGAACTTACAGAAATGAAAGTAATGAAAAAAAATGTGCCTCTAAGGCAGAAAATCTGTCCAGACCACAAGGCATGCAAACAGCAGGTAACAAGAAAAACTAACAGAGAACTATGAACACTTTATTTAGCRAGGAACTTTCRACACATTTGCATGCTTCTTTCCTGGAGAAGRTGCAGAAGAACTTGAAAAAGCTTCCAAGGACATGCTCCAGTAAACTGGAGCAAAATGAGCCTTCCTTGYGTGGCAGAAAATACAAACAGGTGCCTTCTAAAGCTCAGAATGGTCTCTGCAAGCCCAGAATGGATTCAGAGCCAAATCTCAACCAGAGAATGAATTCAGGACAACACATTAGTGTTCTTCCCAAACCCATTTTCAAGTTCTGTTCTGGTAGGGCATTTGGCATGGCTGCAGCTTTTGCCATCAGTGGGGAACAGCCCAGAGGGGCTGAAGTAAACAAAGGCCATCAGCACAAGAAAGCTCACAGGGGCTTGAACAARACAATGCAAGGCAGCACCCTGAAAGAACACTGATCAGTCCCCTCTGTGGCTGCCACCCATCATGGAATGACACTGRGGACAGGCACCATGACACCAAATGCTCCTCCTTGCTCCGAATGCCAAATCCCCATCACACAGAACTGGCAACAGGGTGCTGTCAGAAGCTGCAACAACACTCACCTGGCAAAATGGATGTGCTGATAGGAGTGCTGGGTACCAGTGCTGTCTTCCTATCTCTGCCCTGATCTGAGACAAAGGCAGAGCAATGGAACCAAGAATAGCACAGGACTCAACTGCAAAAGCACCAAGGGGAAAYGGTTAACCAAAGCCACTGCTGCATAGGGAGAGAACAGCTTCTATAAATACACATACACTACAASGCCAGGAAACCAAAAGAACATATTAAGGATATTAAGACAATAATGGAAGTTAACCTTCCCCTTCAAATTCTGGTTTGAGTTCAAGCATCTGGCTTAAGCAATGGCTAATCTTTCATAATGGCACCTAGTGCTGAATTAATGCTTTCCAGTGAGAAAGAATGGACCTACTCCTTAGGGAGCTTGTGACCTTCAAAAGTAGCAGTAATTCAAAAARTTGTCCAAACTTTGCTATGTCAGTCTGGTAATGGCAGAAAGCAACAGAAAAAAAAAAAAAGTGCTGCTCTATCTAACAGTGCTGGTAGACATTTTTTGCACAGCCACTTCATCACTTATTAATCATCTACCACMTAATTTCTTTCTTTCTTCTTGCCTAAAAATTGTGACAGGCTAGACAAGGTCACAGTTATCCYAATTCATGGCTTTTGCTTCTAGCAATCCAACAGCTTTTCTATRTATCTCAAACTTTATTCATATGCTGAGATGAGCAAATATCACTGGCCTCCAGATAGGCCTCTTGATGGTCTTTAAACAAGTGATTCCTCCAGTTTTATTTATTTAACACTATTAAGTGCCATTTTCTATCTAGATGTTTCTGGAAGRGACATTTCTCCCTCAGTGTAAGAGAAAGACATCAACAAAGTTACCCTTTTCCTAATACACTGAAGCAGTAGATATTAATCATATTTTCTTCACATTTTTTCATTCTTACCTTTTATTAACTCTATTGCTTCTTTGATTCCAGGACATAAAAAAAAGTGAAGRATTTTTCTGGTATTGTTGGCCCATGATACCTTTCAGAAAAGCTTTTAATTTCCTTTGTTAATGCCTGCATTTCTTGTTATCCATGTCTGTAATTTACCCTATTTATTTCACAGAATCTACAAACATTGGCACATACACATCCATAGGCTGTTTTTCTGTCTTTTAGCTAGGACAGGTTTTGAATCAGAAAAGCCCTCCAATGCAACTGCATTAGTTTTGATGACTAATAAAGGATTCGTAAGAAACTTTATCATTTCCCTTTCATCTTTTAAGTTCATCCTCTCRCTCAGGAGTATGTCAGTTTTGGTTAACACCAAACTATCAGCCCATATGCTCATCTCTCCCCATTAAAATTGTGATCACTGCAAGAAATCAACCCCCAGTCTGAGTTTTCCAATGGAACACACAGCTGCACCCCCAGATGTGCTCCAGACCCCCACACCACCAGCAAATATCACCCACATGGTGCTTTTATGATGGTTCAAATGCCACCTCTTGTGGTGCTGATTCTGCTTCACAAGAAAATTCATGTTGGCTTGGACAGAGAGAGGATCCTTGTGGAAGCCCAGCAAGATCCCAGCTGCATTTCAAACCATGTCTGACAGACAAGCCCAATATTTAGCAACAGAGTGGCTTGGTGGCCTACTGAAGGYAGCCCTGGCTTCACTCCCTGCCCTTCTCCCTTGCCCCCAGCATACCTTGCTGTTATTCCTAAAATAATTTGCTGCTTACAGCATAGTGAAACTAGAAAAAAACATGGCTGTGCTTTCAATACACCACATATATTCTATGTAAACTTTGTTGTTGGTATCTTTATATTGAACCAGCAGTTAAAATTCACATGACAGGAACAGAMAGTTCTTCAGCCAGCTCAAAGTGCATGGTACTTCAACATAAGTCAAATTCTTCTATTTTTTTTTTTTCTCCTTCTGTTTCACTCTTTATCTAGAGAGAAATGAAGTATTCTCAGACAATGTCCAGCAGAGAGGTCAGTATTAGTGAACTTTTTAGTTCCTCAACACTGGTAGGTTCCCAAGGATAAAATACAACCATTTTCTTCTCTTCAGTCATGAGGAAACCATTATCACTAAATCTGCCTTTTATATTCCCTACATCCAGAGAAACAAAAGGAGCAATTGCAGTTGTCTGAAGAACAAATACATAAATGTCATCTTGTTTGGATACAGAGGCCTGAAAAAGAAAAAAAAAACCCAATTATTAAAAAATATGTGTTAAAGACCCCAGTTACACCCAAACAGGAAAAGCCCTGCATATCAGTAAAACAGACTGAACAACCACATTTGGTCAAAATTAATATTTTTCATATGTAAGAATCAAGCAAAAACTGCAAATGTTACGAGAACCTTCCTACAGAATACTACACATTGTGGAAAGATGCCAAGAATTATTATCACTCYGCCATCTTCTTATGAAAATAACAGAATAAATGGTAATCTGACTTGTACATAGTACTAGTATCCTTCCCATACTGCAGTGAAAGAAATTTGTCCTTTCACCAACACTTCACTCAATTTATCAACTCACAGCTACTAAAAGAGCTTGCCTTTCCAATTCCATCCATAATAGAAACACACACAAGSAAAAGATACTAAAAATCCCAGCAAGACAATTACAAAGTAATCTCATCTTAATGCATCATGGCAGTGAAGCCCTTGTACCACATTTACTAAAATATAAAAAGAATAGTTGTAAAATACTAGGTCAAGATATAATATTTTATATTAAGTTCTATCAGTAGTTAATCTCACAGAGACCCCAAATCCCATCCAGGAGGCATTTTCAGGCAGCACTTTCCATTCACCAAAATGAAAGATTATGCTCCATAACTTTCAAATACCAATTACCCATACATAAAAAGAGAACAAATTACATTCAATGCAGACATAATGTTCCGATTACAAGAAAAGCAACACTACTCATTTTTGAGAAAAAGAACACATCCTCTACATATTTTGTTTCCTGAAGAAATTTAATGCCTTCATGTTTTTTAAAAGCAATGCTACAAATCCAAGTAGCTCTTGGATTAGCAATGTATTTGAAAGTCTAGTTAGTTTATTAGTTACTAAGCAYAGAAGTACCAACCTCTTGCAAAACAAAGCCATTTTTTTAATCACAGCTGCATTTCTTAAAATGACCACTTTGCATTTATCCWTGCTAGCTATCCTTATTAGTTAGTATTGCAAAGACAACACAGTTACAAAATAAAGAAATTAAATTTTCCAACAATGCTCCAGTTG